GGGTATTAATACGTCATCAACACTGACTTGTAAGCTGTACCTATATGTCACCGACAGTGAAAGGGCTAACGACAGAGTTCCGTTTCTAAGACCTCGTTGGTAAATGAATTTGTCACTAAGTGAGGAGCATACTATAATGATAGTGAGTTTGTGTCAACCGTCTTCGATATTGTTTTAATGTCACAGTTGCACCATTTATAGCATTCCTGGTATATTTTTAAATGTTAATACTACAGTAGTGTAATGTACATTATAATAAACAGAATAGAGGACATCAGCTCTAATATACATTATTTAGGTATGCATACAGTGACACCTGCGGTCACGACCATAATTCATTCCAAAACTCTGGTCATGACACAAACCTAATTTCCCCACTGGATTATAAATAAGCACAGTGGAACCCCGAGTTTCGAACACATCAGCTACTGAACGCTTTGAGTTTCGACCACTTTTTTCGCACCAATTTTGTCCCGAGTATCGAACGTGCCCCGTGTTTCGAACTGCATACCAGACCTGTCTGCCTGCCCGCGTCCCCATGCAGGCGTCATGAGCCAGTCTGGCTTTGTTTATGCTTGAGTGAACACTAACCTGCGTGCTCATTCAAGCATTTCACTACTAATTCATTGTGTTTGGTGTTTGTGCAACTGTGAAATAAGCTACCATGGGCCCAAAGAAACTTGCTAGTGGCACCCGTGGTAAAGAAAGTGAGAAACACCATAGATGTGAAGAAGGAAATAGTACAAAAACATGAGAGTGGCGTGCAACTTGTGGAGCTTGCCAGGATATATGGCAAAAACAAATCAACAATTGCTTCTATCCTGGTGAAGAGAAAAGAAATCAAGGAAGTTGATGTTGCGAAAGGTGTTGATATGCTAACCAAAAATAGACCACAAATAGTCCAAGAGGTTGAGAAGTTGTTGATTGTGTGGATCAAGGATAAAGAGAGCGGGTGATAGTGTTTCGGAGACAATCATTTGTGATAAGGCAAGGCAATTGCATGACAATCTCATATAGAAAAGGCCTGCAACAAGCGCTGCTGTTAGTGACTTTAAGGCCAGCGGAAGCGGGTTTGACAAATTTAAGAAGCATAGTGGCATACACAGTGTGGTAAGGCATGGGGAGGCTGCCAGTTCTGACAAACATGGAACTGAAAAATTCATAAATGAATTTCAGGGGTACATAAAGGCTGAAAAATTGGAATCCAAACAAGTGTTCAATTGTGACGAACAGGCCTGTTTTGGAAGAAAATGCCAAAGAGAACCTACATAATGCAGGAGAAAAGGCACTGCCAGGACACAAGTATATGAAAGACAGGCTAACTCTCTTGTTTTGTGCTAATGCTAGTGGGGATTTTAAAGTGAAGCCTTTACTGGTGTTATCACTCAGTAAATCCCAGCGTGTTCAAGAAAAACAATGTCGTCAAGAATAGATTTTGTGTGTTGTGGAAAGCTAATAATAGGGCATGGGCCACAAGGCAAATTTTCAGAGTGGGTCCATGAAGAGTTTGGCCCCAATGTGAAAAAATACCTCCAAGGAAATAAATTGCCACTCAAGTGCCTCCTGATACTGGACAATGTTCCTGCACATCCTCCAAACTAGGTAGACCTACTGTCAAGGGACTTCAGTTTCATCACAGTGAAGTTCTTGCCTCCTAACACCACTCCTCTCCTCCAGCCCACGGACCAGCAGGTCATTTCTAACTTCAAAAAACTCTACACAAAGGCAGTGTTTGAAAAGTGCTTTGAAGTGACCTCAGACACTCAGTAGACCCTAAGAGAGTTCTGGAGGAATCATTTCAGTATCTACAACTGCATAAGCCTTATAGGTAAGGCTTGGGAGGGAGTGACTTCCAGGACTTAGAACTCTGCTTGGAGATAATTGTGGCCAGATTGTGTTCAACAGAAGGATTTTGAAGGGTTTGAGGCTGACCCTGACCCTGCCGACCCTCTGCCTATTGTGGAAGGTACTGTGGGATTGGGCAAGTCCATGGGGTTGGAGATGAGCGGTAAGGATACAGGAGAGTAGGTGCAGGACCACAGGGAAGAGCTAACCACTGAAGAGCCGCAAGAGCTTCATCTGGAACAGCATCAGACCACATCTCAAGAACTTCCTTCAGAAGAGGAGGAAGAGGGGGTGGATGATGTGCCTTCTTCACAAATTAAGGAGATTTGTGCAAGAATGATGTGCAAAAGTTTGTGGAGAAGTACCACCCTGAGCAAGCTGAAACAAGCCATCTTTGCAACAAGTTCACTGACAAAACCATGTCCCACTTCAGGGACATCTTAAAGAGGCGCCAGAAACAGAGGACTGTGGGCAGTTATTTTGCGAGACAGGGGTCAAGTGACTCTCAAGCTGGTCCTAGTTGCATTAAAAGACAAAGAAGGGAAGTAACCCTAGATAAGGACCTGTAACCTAAAGTCTGTTTGGAAGGGGATTCCCTTTCCAAACAATAAGTGCTCCCTCACTCCTCCTCCCTATCTTTGATATGCTATCAACAATCTTCAATAAAGGGAAGTAAAAATGTTATTTTATATGTTTATTTAAATGTTTATTTATCTATTACTAATTGTACTATGTGTATTTATTGTATGTAAAACTATAATATCTATAAAATGCATTTTTGTTTTTTTTGCAAATATTTTTGGGTTTCTGGAACGGATTAATTGTATTTACATTATTTCTTATGGGAAACATTGCTTCGAGTTTCAAACTTAATCCTGGAATGGATTAAGTTCGAAACTCGGGATACCACTGTATGATTAATCCATTCCAGACCTCTACAAACTGTGTGCAAATACTGCTTTTTTAAGCACAAAAATAGTTAATTATACTATAGAATGCACAGTGTAATAGTAAACTAAATGTAAAAACCTTGAACAATAGAGAAAACTAACACTGCACGAGTCTGTTCTAGACCCCTACGAATAACAGCGCTATCACAAGAAATAGGCATAATCTTACTTCTGAGATACTGAGGTAAACGCGCGTACACCTGATTACATAAAAATGAAAAAAAAAAGTGAAAATTGCACTACTTTTGGTTTTTCCATGCAATATAAGTGATTTCTCATAATTTCCCCTGTACAGTGGACCCCCACTTTACGATCAGCTCCCAATGCGACCAATTATGTAAGTGTATTTATGTAAGTGCGTTTGTACGTGTATGTTTGGGGGTCTGAAATGGACTAATCTAATTCACAATATTCCTTATGGGACCAAATTCGTTCAGTAATGGCACCTGAACGTACTTCTGGAATGAAATATCGTAAACCGGGGATCCACTGTATATTACACTGTTTTCTCTGGTAAGAGACCAGAGGTACCAAAGGAGAACATAATTATCCTTTTATGGTCAGGTACTTGAGTAGACCTCTGGCCGTTCCACATCTCTCTCTATTATATTCCAATTATTATTTTGGCCATCTTTATTATGATTTTATCTTATTTATTTTATGTCTGCTATCATTTCTGAATAAATGTTATAGGCAGATAAAGTTTATTACTAATAATAGCATAGGTACAAGACATTTTGTGGCCGATGACTAGAACGTTAACGAAGAAAATTCTTTCCCTGCCTCTCCTCTTGACTCCTCCTATCATATAGCTCCTACCACACTGTAATGATGTTCAGTGGTAAATTTAGTGTATTAGTCTAAAAATTTACTTCATGTTCATGCATATATTTACATGGCGCGTCATCACAAGAAATGTTCAAACAGCTATAATTTGCTGTAGAAACATCGTAGTATTACAATGGGATTTTCACCAAAACGTTGCTAGATTCTTAAACTATTTTTCTGTAAACAAAAATCATTTCTCATATTCTTCAATTTATTTTCTTACTCCATGTGCTGCATAGGTTACCTGTCTCTCAAGCACAAAAAATTAATCAAAGTTTGAAAAATCCTTAATTATACAAAATAATGCACAGTTTCATAGAGAAAAATGCTTAAATAACAGAGAAAAAAAATATCATAAACAACCAAGAAAATAAACCTTGCATGAGTTGACCTCTAGTGTGAAGGAAGTGAGGAGGAAGATAAGTGGGGAGGAGGTTACTATTTTGAGGGAGTTCACAGTGAATGAACGTACGTCTGAACAAGACAGACTGCAAGGCGAAGAGGAAGTCAGGAAAACTGGTGCGTGAAAAAATGGCGCAGAATGTGAAAATTGGTGCGGCTGTTTGTTCGGCACCCGATTGTGTGTTCGTGACCAGATGCAAAAATTTGGCAAATTTTTGGGTCGTGAACCAATCTGTTCATGTTCGGAAGTGTTTCTGACCAGATGTTCCACTGTACTGGTCAGATAGCCCGTCATAACTCTGGGTCATTGGTAAACGAGTACATCGCTAAGTGAGGAGAGGCTGTATTCCTTCAAGCGAGGCCAAGAAACCGAGAACACAACCATAAAAACCATACGAAAATACACTGCAGTCACTGTTTTAAACCAAAAACACAGTTGCAGTTTTTTCTCATTATGCACTGCATGCTGCAGGATTTTTTTTATATGGTTCACACTTACCATATAAACCCATTCTCTCAAATCTAGGCCCAAATTTACTGCTCGAAGATTATCTGAGTGAGCTGAGCCCATCACATAGAACAGGGCTGACCCGGGCTTCAAAGACGTAGTACAATGGGACCCACTTCTAAAGGGTTAGTGAAACATGACTGCGAGAAGATAGATGAGCTGTATATCAATGAACAAAATAAAGGACAAGCTCTTCACCAAAAATCATAAATGTAAACTGCAAAATAAACTAAGCCCAAGACATATCAGGAAGCATTTGTTCAACATAAGTGTACTAAACCAGTGGGATGAGTTAGATAATAGCACAAACGTTAATGCTACGAAAGAGTATCCAATATAAATATGATACAACATTTATTTACGCAAAGTCAACTATTTCTCGGGGTAAGGAATTTAAGTGGCGGGTCCAAGCTCACCTTCACTGCAAATGAAGATAAAACAAAAATGGGAAATATAGTGATACATACCACTTTTAATTCTTCCTCGCTGTTCAATTTTAAGAGTGAGATACAATGTTCTGATTGGAAAATACACAGCTTGAGGAAACATTCGTCCCACTTGGTTCAGGAGGTTGATGATCACCTGTAAAGTGAATGACCAATTATGTCATAATTTATAGCATATACCAGAATATATATTTTATAAACTCCTTTTATATACGTATAGTATTACTTTAATACTAAGATTATTATAATACAGCACATATATTAAATGTGGAGGAATAACATGAATCCAGACACTAACAAAGAGTAACTAAGTGGCAGACTTCTTTATTTGACTCATATTTTTACATAATCTGAAAACACTGTGAAATGCTATACTGCTATTCTCCTGGTGCTGAGGAAGAAAAGTGATGGAATTTAAAGTAGACAAAGGCCCCAACGCATATATATATCATCATATAACAGGAAACCACAGAAATTAAGATCAGTAGAGGTAAAGGTCATCTAGAAAGGAGGAACACAACAGAACAAAATCAAATACAAGGGTATATAAAACGTCTCTCATCAAATGTACACTATCCCCCTCTGACAGCAGCTGGATGACCATAGCTGCACGTAAAAGTAAGTCATAATAAAAGGGAGAGTGGGAAGATTAGTTTCTACAAACTTTCCAGGCATACAGTATAAGAATTACAAAACACTCAGCTATGCTACACTCTTTCACCACTTTTTTTCATTCTCTCTTCTATTCTGTGTAGTCCATCTTCCTTGCACTATTTTAACATTTTAATTTTTTTCTGCACAGATGAAAGTACAGTATATAACTTTTGTTCTGCATCAGCAGAAAATACATGCAGCATTTTCATATCCCATGAGGAAAGATGATAATGTTTATATATAAATTGTTTATCATCATGGGAGTCACAGGTCTATATAGATGGGACTAAATATGCTGTGTTTTGCAAAGCAAACACATGTAGTGTTTTCATATCCTCTTTATCTTCAGGGTTAAATTGTGAGGATACTGGAGATAATGCTTATTTTTTTTAACATGCTGGCCGTCTCTCACCAAGGCAGGGTGACTTGAAAAAGAAACACTTTCACCATCCTTCACACTATCACTATCTTGCCAGAGGCACACATATGACAGTTCAGATGTCCCTCCAAACAGTAAATATCCCTAACTCCTCCTTTAGAGTGCAGGCATTGTACTTTCCACCTCCAGGACTCAAGTCCAGTTAACTGGCTTCCCTGAATCACTTCACAAAATGTTACCCTGCTCACATTCCAACAGTTCATGAAGTGCCAAAAATCATTTGCCTTACACGTACTCCTAACATGCTCACACATGCCTGCTGGATGTCCAAGCACCTCGCATACAAAACCTTCTTTAACTCCCTTCAACCTCTCCAGGGATGGCCTCTACCCTACCTTCCCTTTACTACAGATTAATACTTTTATACACCCTCCAAGTCGTTCTATTTTGTTCCATCCCTCTCTAAATGTCCGAACTGCCTCAACAACCCCTCCTCTGCTCTCTGGATATTATTTAGTAGCCCTGCACCTCATTCAAATATCCAAATTATAAATTCTCTACATTAAATATTTACTCCAAACACTGCCCTCAGATATGACATCACTGCCTCCAGTTTCCTCCTCACTGCAACATTCACAATACATGCTTCATACCCATATTAACCCTTTCATTGTAAAGACCCCTGCTCCAGTGGTGGCTCGTAACACCAGTAATACCATTACAGTGGAATCTCTACTTATGAGTGCCACAACATGTGAGTTTTTCAAGATACGAGCAGTCACTTGGTCGATTTTTTGCTTCCAGATGTGAGCGGGCCTCAAGGGAGGTTCCTTGATGCTGGTGAGGGGCTCTTGCTCTTGATCTAGGGAATTGGATCTCAGTTGCTTGTTGGACTATCTTATTGAAACTTGGAAAACGTATGATGAAAAGAAGAAATCGGACCATAAATAACGGAGTTCACTTCTCAGCCATTAGCCGCCCCTTAGTGGTATATTTTCGTATGGTTTTTATGGTTGCATTTTCGGTTTTTTTTTTGGTCTCAATTGATAGAATGGAAGATATATTACAGAAATAGATACGATTTTGATTGCTTTCACAGCGAAAAGTAGTACCTTGAAAATGAGCTCAAAGTAATGGAAATGTTCGATTTTTGCCGATGTTCAAGAGTAAACAAATGTCATCATCCAATTTGTGTCACCTGGCCAGTCTCATACGCAGTCACAAATGAGCTGACATTTATACAGTTATTACAATAATGTAGTAGTCTGCATAACAGTAAATCTTCTATTTTTTGTGTGAAAAAAAATTCCAAATGGTAAGTAGGAGTATTATTATAAGAATATGTACATACTAAAAGCAATGTGTGGTGTAAATATAACAACATAAGAAAGAAGGAACACTGCAACAGGCCTACTGACCCTTGCGGAGCAGGTCCATGTCCCCCCCCGGATTAGACCAATGACCCCCGCCCCCCAGATTAGCCAAATGACCCACCCAGTATGGTCATCTCCACTCAAGGATGGAGCACTGCACCAGACCCAGCAGCACAAGCTAGTCAGGTCCAACTCAAACCCACCCACACCCACTCATGTATTTATCTAACTTATTTTTAAAACTACACAACGTTTTAGCCTGAATAACTGTACTCGGGAGTTTGTTCCACTCATCCACAACTCTATTACCAAACCAGTGCTTTCCTATATCCTTTCTGAATCCGAATTTTTCCAACTTGAAACCACTGCTGCGAGTCCTGTGTTGGCTGGAAATTTTCAGCCTGCTATTTACATCTCCTTTATTTATTCCTGTTTTCCATTTATACACCTCAATCATATCTCCCCTAATTCTATGCCTTTTGAGAGAGTGCAGATTCAGAGCCCTCAGTCTATCCTCATAGGGAAGATTTCTGATACATGGGATCATCTTTGTCATCCTCCTCTGTACGTTTTCCAGAGCATTTATATCCATTCTTTAATACGGTGACCAGAACTGAGCAGCTTTGTCTAAAGGGAGGCCTAACCAAGGATATATAGAGTTGAAGAAAAAACCTGAGGGACTTCTATTATTTATACTTCCAGATATGAAGCCAAGAATTCTGTTAGCTTTATTGCAAAACACTAATGTACTGTTGTCTTGGTTTAGATTACTCCCTAACCAGAACTCCTAAATCCTTTTCGCAATCAGTTTGAATTAAGATCTACATTATTTAGTTTATATGTGGCATGGTTATTTACCTGTCCAACATTTAGAACTTTGCATTTGTCAATATTAAACTGCATCTGCCACTTTCCCGACCCTTGCATCAGTCTATTCAAATCATCCTGGGGTGCTCTAGTGTCCTCATTAGAATGAATTGGACAGCCTATTTTGGTTGTCATCAGCAAATTTGCTTATGTTTGCTATTTATTCCCCCATCTATGTCATTTATTAAATTGTGAACAACAACAGGCCCAACACTGGCCCCCGAGGAACACCGCTTGTGACGTGCCCATTTTTGATTTTTTCCCCATTTATGCAAACTCTGCTGTCTATTTGTCAGCCCTGCCTCTACCCCGAAAAAAATTTCTCCTCCTATTTTCCCTGTGCCTTAAGTTTCCTCAATAGCCTCTGGTGTGGAACTCTATCGAAAACCTTACTGAAGTCCCTATTTCACAATATCAAAATTCATTACCATGATCTACCTCCTCAACACCTTATGAAAAAAATTAGTATATTCGTAAGACAGGAACGCCCCTTTGTAAAACCGTGTTGAGATTCATTAATCAATCTGTGCCTGTCAAGATGGCTACAAATTGCTTCGGCAAAATTTTTGATTCCATAATTTTTCCCACTATGGAGGTAAGGCTTATTGGTCTATAGTTCGAAGCCAAGGACCTGTCACCTGCCTTATAAATAGGTACATTGTATTACATTTGCCCTTTTCCACTTATCAGGCACTATGCCAGTTTGTAGTGATACGTTAAAAAGATTAGCCAAAGGTATGCTAAGTTCCTCTTTACATTCCTTTAACACACTTGCAAACAGTTCATCAGGGCCTGGGGATTTGTTAGGTTTTAGTTTCTCTATTTGTCTTAGGACCATTTCACTAGTTGCCGCAATCGTACATAGTTTATCATCCTGTTCTACATAATCTATTATTTCAGGAATATCACTAGGATTTTCCTGGGTGAAAACTGAGAGGAAGTAGGTATGTATTTAGCATTTCACACATATCCTTATCACTGTCAGTGATCTGACCAGAGTTACTCTTAAGTGGGCCAATCTTGTCCCTAATCTTACTTCTATATACCTGAAAGAACCCTTTTGGGTTCGTCTTTGAATCACTTGCGACAGCCTCATAATCCCTTTTTACTTTTCTTATTCCTTTCTTTATTTCTCTCTTTAATTGAATATATTGATTTCTTAACTGCCCATCCCCTCTTTTGATATGCATATATATGCCTCTCTTTTGACCAATGAGATGTTTTAATCTATTGTTCATCCATTTGGGATCATTTTTGTTAGGTCTAATTTCCCTACTCGGAACAAAAGTTGTCTTGGCAGCTAGAACTATGCTCTGAAAAACGTCATATTGGCAACCAAGATCACCTACCTGACCCATAGTCAGGCCATCCAAATTTAGCCCACCCAGGTAATTTTTCAGTCCCGTGAAGTCGGCCAAGCGAAAATCTGGGACAGAGATTTGATTGCAGTTATCTGGGTAATTCCATGATATATTAAAACTAAGTGATTTGTGATCACTTTCCCCAAGCTCATCATTAACCTCAAGATTATTAATTAGTGAATCTTTGTTGGCAAGAACCAAGTCAAGCAGATTGTTTCCTCTAGTTGGTTCTGTCACAACCTGTTCTAAAAAGCAATCCTGAACCGTACCAAGAAAGTCACTAGACTCAAGATTTCCTGTCATATTGTTCCAATCAATTTGTCTAAAGTTAAAATCTCCCATTATCACAACATTTTCGTATCTAGATGCCTTATGAATTTCGTCCCATAACAGCTTACTGCCCTTCCTATCAAGGTTTGGGGACCTATAAATCACACCCAAAATTAATTTGCCATGTCCCTCGAGAAACTGTAGCCAAACAAATTCTGCAGAAAATTCGGAG